ATCAAGATGACCTGCCAAAATGAAGTTTGACCGGACAAGTGCGAATTTTGGTCGGTCATTGTCCGTTCACCAGCCCTTATTTTGAGCCCTGGGATGGAAATATCATAGATGATTTCATAGATAATTGTATGATAAATACATTTAACAAATAAGTGCGCAGTAGTTGCATGTCCATAATGGAGGGGGACATTGGGGGGCTCTGAATACCGCAATACCGCAAAAAAAAATTCAAAAATCCCGCATTACCGCATGAAAAAATCGATTAGAAAAATTAGATCTGCAAGCATTTTTCTCGCAATACCGACATTTTAAGCGATTTTTCTTGCAATACCGCATCTTAAAACTTCAAATACCGCATATCGCACAAAATACAAATCCCGCATTATCGCATTTATTTTGCCAAATTACCGCAATATCGCATGAAAAAACGGTCAATCCCGCAATCCCGCAATCCCGCAAACCCCAATGTCCCCCTCATAATGCAATTCAAAAATTCAAAAAAATTTTAGTTACAAATCTGAAAAGACATGTATAGTTGCATTCAAAGAAAGTTCAAACTCCAGATCACTGTCTATTGAGGATTTAATCAATCTGCAGTTTAAAAAATCTAGATTTTCTTTAAAAATGATGATGATGATGATGATGATGATGATGATGATGATGATGATGATGTAAAAAATAAGTGTTTAGTACTTTATAGCTTTAAAATTAAATCAATAAATAGATCTAAAAATAAATACTAGTAAAACAGTAAAGAAATTCAAAGGTATGGAAAGATCGCGTGAGACTTGTTTAAGCAAGATTATTCAAGTGAAACCATTTTTATTTAATAATTGTTTGTTTGAATAGTGAAATTTTGTTTTAATATTAACAGATAGCTTTATCATGCAATAAAAGGTTTGAAGTTCCTTAGTTCTCTTGAGTCGCCACCAGTAAACACATGAACAAAAAGGTGATACCACGTCAATATGTCTAGATACAGTCTTATTTTCCTTTAKAGGTCAGCAAATCCATTAACAAAGAGCGCAAACTTCAGCTGTCACTGAGCGAGTATTAAAATATTACAAAGTAATTACAAGGATCAACAAATACCTTATTCGAGCATAATCTATGAGCTAAATTAACAAAAGCCGGAAGATTCCCTGTAAAGAAAATAAATGTACAAATTACCTGACTTTTTGTTCCCGACCAGTGCAGGAAGGCAACGGTATGGTTATCACCATGAAATTCGTACTCTGTTGCACTTACAAGCTGTGTATCATTGTGATCAGCATCCCTGGGTAGTTGTACACCTCTCCGTTGTCTATTATAATGTTCTTTTAGTTTTCTTGAGTCCAGATTTCCTTGTGAATCAAAGAGACTTGAGTAGAAATCCGCTGTGTTGGATGACGACTGGTCTAAAATTATGTATTTGTCGCCCTCGACATCGCCATAGYACAACGAGTTTGTCGTTAATATAAATACTGAAATAATTGTTATTGATAAATATTGGCAATATAGCGCCATTAGTGAGTTAAATATAACCAAATTGTGCAACTATTTATGTTTTCCACATGTGCACTGAGACGAGTTGGACATTTTCGAATAAGGCTGCGATTCTACTGGACAGCGGTACAAAACATGCTAAAAATAGTAGTCTATATAGTCTCTGTAGTCTGTTGACCTCTGTTTAGAAATGGTCAGAAGAAAATAAAGTTTTATGAAAGATCTCTTATGCAGAAATAATTAGTTATAGGTTTCTGTTCGAATAAAGATGATTTCTAAATTCATCGACTTCGTTTCTGTGAAATTTGATAAAAACTAAGCTTATCGCCCTTGATTTGATAGACTAAAGATATTTCAATGATCTTTTTTAAAAATGATATCTAATGGAGCAATTCTTAAATAAAAAATGATTCATTGATTTTGGTCACATYCCTATGATTTATAATATTTGCGATTATTATTTTGCTTTTTATTTGAGCCCACGACTATTTCTCAGCGGTTTAGGGGTATAACAATTGTCCTTTATGCCACCCCCCTCAAGCGATGTTCTTTCTCTTCAGTGGCTGTGTTGCATGAGGTTGGAAGCAACGAAATGAAGCAACATAAAGAAGTCTCTTCTTCTAGGAGAAAATGCCGAAAGGCTCACTTCTCGGCCCCATCAAGTGTTAGAAGAAAGCTTATGAGTGCTCCCTTGTCCAAAGAATTGAGGCAGAAGTACAACGTTCGTTCAATTCCCGTTCGCAAAGACGACGAGGTTCAAGTCACACGTGGGCATTTTAGAAGCCAACAAGTTGGAAAAATCATCCAAGTTTACCGTAAGAAATGGGTTATTCACATCGACAGAATCCAACGCGAGAAAGCTAATGGTGCTACAGTTAGTGTAGGAATCCATCCAAGCAAAGTTGAAATCGTCAAGCTCAAGCTAGACAAGGATCGTAAGAGGATTTTGGAAAGGAAAAATAGATCGAAGTTGGCCGAGAAGGGAAAACACACAGAGGAAGAAGTGCAAGCTATGGCCACAGAATAATCAAGGTAATTGAACAAAAAAAGTTCTTGGGTTTTTAATACTTATTTACTACTAATATTCAGGAATTGTTGTTGAAATTATTATGATAAGTCTGACAGACACCCTAAAAAGTCCCTATTAGTGTAGCTCCCTGCAGTCCATAGGCATGCATATCCATCTGGGTGACAAAGCAATGGATTATAGTTCCTTAGAGGAAAAGAAATCTTTTGTTATGTTTCCCAGATAAAACTGCTGTTACATCGCATTTCATGTGTGGTTAACCAACCTAAGTATCAAAAGTAGGCTATTGAACACAACTCACATATTTAACCCTAATATGGCCCAAATTTTTCATGAAAGTCTCCCAGTCATGCCCAGTTTTGCATTCGGGAGGAAAAACACGGGTCCACATTTTTGGTACAAAATCATCGTTATTTTGAATACTCAGAATTATCGCTAAAATATCGCCATTGTCATCGCCGTTTCTTTAATTTGGATCAGACATCTAAAAGCTACATATTTTCAACTAATTAGACAACAAAAATCATGCAAAAACCCTCCATATTTATTAGAAAACCCGCGCAATTTGTTTGAAAACTCACCACAAAACGATCGATGTTTTCACTTCGGTTTGACTTCAAAAATACGATGCCTCGATTCCATGATGGTTTGTTAATATAAACAAAGCTTTTGATTCATCKAGAAAACAAAAGAACATGGGTTTTTGACCAATCAAGAGCGATGGCTCAAGTGGGCCCATCTAATCGGCCCTTGGCAAGACTACGCATTTGTCGCGCGGGCCGATTAGATCGGCCCTTGGTAGCTTTAGGGTTAAAGAGATACATTTGAACCAGGCCATATTGATGATATTAACAATTTATCTGTTGATTACAGAAAAACAATTGGCATTGATTGTAATAGCATTTATTTATCTTGATTTTGTACTGTTTGATAAGACTGTCAAATTTCAACCTTAGCAAATACACTTACAATTCTGGGCAATGTTCCTAGCGTAACACCATTTTTTATAGTCCTCATGCAGCCTTATCAAAACTGTTGTTAGTTTGTCTGTGAATCAGCAGCAAAGATCATGTCCCATGTACTTTCATACTTATTGGCTACAGGAAATATCAGTCAGACTTGAAAAAGAAAACAATAAAATGTCATTTGAGACAACTTGCTTCAACAGGGGAMACTGAGGCTCTTCAGCTCCTCTGTTACATGTAACTTAAAATTTCCCATATTTTCGATTGAAATGTTTGACAATAAGTAGACAGCTTGCGCCATAAAACACAGTCAATCACACCGAGAAAAGCCAAACAAGTTAACAGTATGACCACAAACCTTGACATGTGCACTTGCTTACTTTAGGCAATGGGTGTACATTTATTGTTAGAATTCAAAACTAAGAATAAGAGCAGAGTACATATATCCCAGTAAACGGAGCACCATGTTCRTCACTGATTTGGTGACAGCAACAGGTTCAGCTGCATGCAAGCTACATTGTTGAATAGAGCTTTGTTTTTTTAAGTGACTTGGTCAACCAGCCTAAGGGGAAATTTGGAGACTTCAAATGTCCTTGTACAATCTGTTTCCATCTTTTAGTTTTAAGTTCAACTATTTACAATATCTATTATAAACCTATTTCAAAAAATGTCAGGGAGAATGGTGAAATGTTTGATAGCAAAATTTAATTTGATCAAAGAGATGGTTGTAGGTTGGTCTATTCATAATGATTTAAAAGGTTACTTCAACCTAAAATTTTATTTACTTAGTCAAGCTTTCGGCTCACTGAGCCATTATCAAGACTGATGAAAAAAACGTTAATTTTTAAAGTGTCACCTCGTGCGAAAATGGAGACTAAATGGACTATCCTACAATATAAATCAGTTATTGTTACCCATCAATTAGCAAAATCCATGGCTCCTTTCAGTTGTGCAATCTTTGTTCAACAATTTTCATTCACTATCTCATCCAAAAAACTTTTCTGAAATAGGTTTATATAAAGGTATAGTGAAGAGTAATTGCTTTGCCTATTTTACAATGTATTTTCATTTGACTTTTCTATATACAATGTAGCAGTAGGCATTACATCATGATCTATATTCAGTACAAAAGTCTTTTGCTCATCCCTGTACAGCCATATATGGTGTTGCTTGTACTGAAGCTAGACCCATAATGCAACATGATTTTTAGAGATCTATGGCGCTAGTGAATATAAGTTTGATTGTCATATCAATCCATTGATTGCTGTTATTCTTGCTATTTTTCAGGATATCTACAATGGTCAGGCTTCAACCATCTTGCTACCTTGTAATGTCTAAATAAAATCTTTCTGCATATTTCTTGGTTGTTAAAAGTTATTTTGTTTTGTGTGTATGTGTGTTTTTTTGTTTGTTTGTTTGTTTGTTTTTTGTTGTTGTTTTTTAGAGAAAGATACCTTTCCCATGTGCATAATCTGTATGCCACTGTAGCCTGGCCTTACTACTAAAATGCAGACGATATCGTCTGACTAAAAAGCATTCAATGTGAAATGGACCCATTCAAGAACCATTGCAATCGTTTCTTTTATTTTACAAAATAATGATCTCTCGTTGGAAGTTGCTTTCTTACTGGTCAAAGATGGCAAATTTTCATATAAGAGAAAATAACGAAAAGGTTCTTGGATGCACAGGGGACTTTAAAGGTAAATCATTGTGAAAATCTTGACTTCGTCCTTGGGAACCCAGGCGTATAGCTTCTGTTGTTTGTTCCTATCTAATCTCCGACAAGATTATGCATGGCTTCCAGAGGATGACCTGACTTGTATGATCTATTCTCAAATTTCAATACTACATGATCAAAACGATCGTTCAAAATGGTCACATGAGTCCGTCGGTATTGAATATTTTCCGTTGCTCTGCCAGCACTCGAGTGTTAAGAGACATACAGTTGTCGATGCAGATGTTGTGAAAACTACACTGACACGTGTAGTGTCGCAGATCGCATAGAAGCTATTTTCAATACACGAAACAGAAAATGGAAATAATAGAAAGTTATAGTGTAAGTTATAGTGAAAAATTAATTTCCGACCTACATGTAGCTGGGATTCGAACTCGCGACCCTCAGATTTGTACTGCCAATGATCTACCAGTAGACCTATAAGAACTGTCTCGGAGAGCAAGTCGGGGTGAAAGAGATCTTAGATTGCGGCAATGAAATAATGTTTTGTTCTAAACCCCATGCACTATTTAAATAAAAGTCAGTTAAAACTGTATTTGGATATGATGGAATCTGAAATCCATGGAAACTGAAAAATAGCGTGTGGATTCCGTGTTATGGTTACCCGCTTACGATGGGTGATTTTTCTGAGTTGACTTATCATTCCAAGTTTCTTTCCTTGTTTTACTTTGATGACTCGATTGTCGTGATGAGCGATGATTTCCTGGGTCAATTATATTATTATTTCTTCGAAGACTTCTCTTCATTTCCATCTTAACGGCTCTTCTGAGTTCGGTCATACGCCAAAAATATACCATGGGATTGATAGCAGTTGTAAGCAGCCACAAAGCGACTGAAACATCAAGAAACCACACAACAAACCCTTTGTAGCCAATCACTATGTAGCTCACAAAATACGCAATTACAGGAAACACGCTGACGAAGAGTACCATGGTTACCAGCAAGTACGTGGTCGAAGACTTTTTGATCTTTATCATACGGCTTTTGTGATGCGCCATGCTGTGCGTGCTGTCCTGGTTTCTAATTTGTCGGTGATGCCTTCGTGTGATTTTATATATTTGGTAATAGCACATTAGAATTATTATAAAACAAAGGAACGATGCGGTCAAGAGGACGATTGCAGTCAATGCGTAGTCATTTGTGAATGTTGGAACAAGTAAAGCTATGGAAGTGATCCATATCATACCATAAGCTACCAGTACTCGTGGTATTGTCACCATTTCCATGTAACGAAGATGATAATGCAAAGCAAGAAACCGATCAATGGTAATAATGGTCAATGTAAGAAAAGATACGTAGTGCCATAAATTTGATAATTTGAAAATTGTATATGAACAGCAGGCAACTCGCCACATTTGGTAGTACTCCGCCAATCTACATGCAAAGAAAAATGTACAATATCAATTTAAATTTGAATGCATTTTCTTTTTTAATGTTTTTCAATAGACATCATAAGCTTTTACTTCACGAACTTTATTTGTAATAAATGATCAGTTTCTGAAATCCGACATGTTTTGTCCTAAATATCTTCCTGGAGGAGTTCCTTTTGTTTCAGAGAAACGTCAAGACATTCAAGGCGTGGATCCATGGGGTGATTAGGGTGGCTACACACGCCCATTTAAAGAGTGATATCAATAAATTAAATAAAGAATGTGAATAGGACTCATTCTGATAAAAGCAAACAAACAAACTACTTCATTTGAAAGAAATGTTTCATCCACAGCCCTAAATCCATCAATTTGACTTTTTTTCGGTTAAGGTACGTGCAGTAAACCCCTTTAACTTTCTGGATCCGCCGTTGACATTGTAAAGAGCGAGGTGTACTTGTACAAAAGTGCTTTTAAGGACAAAAGATATCTTATTTCTATGATATATCAGTTACTAATGGTCCCGTAGGCTAGTCCTAGCGTGAAAGCCTATATTTTGAGTTTGGAGTTGAGACCAGAATCCAGCTGTATTATTAAACGTTTCTTGAGAAAAAAACCATGTCAACATGAGCATGATTTAAACCATTAGTTTTAGCTTACCTATAAGCCACCCAACTCGGCTGCGATGTACTTCCTGATAGCAAATCAGCAAAGGCTAGGCAGGCGAGCAGTACGAATGATGGTTGATGGAGCTCCAAGTGTTTGCGTACCGTCCAGATAATTATGGAGTTTTGCAATATGGCCGCGATAGAACCGATGATATTTAAAGTGTTTGTCAGAAATACCACTGTCTGTATAATTATTGTATGACTTAGGCCCAGTGACGCCGCATGACAAAAATTCTCACCAGAACCATTCATAGCTGCAATATACAAATTGGTATTGCGCTTGTACCTTTTACAGTTTCGATGAAAGCTTTAGGGCAAGCTGCCAATTTTCAAAATGATCAAGATCACTAACTTTGTTAACTAATCTTTTAGAAGAGGCTTACTTGAGCTTGATTGTATGGCTCGACCTCCTTCTGTCAATAGCGTTTCACCGTATCACACCACTTCTCAGACTTTTGTACTAACTGGCTGAGCCAATCTAATTCTTCTTTGATCCTGAGGCGCGTTGATGTATTTGATAATAACTGCACGTCCACCGCAGATTAGGTTTGTTACAGAACAGCGATTACATGTTACATGCCTTACTTGATCTCTTCACGAACATTTAAGCAGAGGAAGAAAGTGATGCCACTGGTTTCATGTCGTGAAATTATTCTGCTGCTTAAGTGTAGTTGTACTTATTAGTGAGATTTCCCGTTTCATCGGATAAAGCTGGGCAGAACTTTACAATGGAACAGCTGCTCAGCTAAACAATCCTACAAGATGAATATTCAAAAGACTTAATATTAGAAGTTCATGTATGAAGCAAGCATTTTTTTTAAGTCAATATTATTTCTTTCCTCGTTTTTTCATTTGATACTTTATTTGAACTTGAAAATCTGAAAAGTTTGTCGTTCAGTGTGAGCTCACACAATTTTTCTTATCATAAAACATGCTTGAATAGTGCTACAAGAGAGAAATAGGAGGAAACACGTCCGTCGTTGTTTTTGGCAATCCAGAGCTGGTAGTCAAGGAAAATACCTTCATTAGAGGCACATGCTTCCCGCGTGGAATCAAACAATGTTACCATGCATGGAGGGCAGGCAGAATTAATAAAACTTTTCATGTGGAGGATGTAAAAAAAATATTGGCACAATGGGACAGCTAATCTGGAGAATCACAGTTGCAGATAGAAAACGTTTATGGCTCTTTACCATTTTTTGTGCGCTATTTCGTAAACCTTCTAAGCTACGGTCCTGATCATAAATTTTCACAACACTTACCAGTTTGGATGTTAAAAAAATGGAATTGATTGAATTCTACTTTTTGATACTTATTATTATCGAATCTTATCCTTGTATTAGAATATATGCATGATAACAGTCATAAGATCGATGTATTATGATAAACAGAAAATTAGTTAATATGTCTTTATGTACATAAAATACACCAAATGGAAATTAGAAAGAAACGAATATTGAGACACTAAAATTATGAAAAGTGTAAGTGGCTAATTATATCCTGTGAAAGTTTGCAAGATCAATCCGTACAGTCAAAAAGTCAATTTTCATCAAGATCTTCTTGATGTCACATGCAATGTGAAAGAGACGGCTGATCAAACTTAAAATTAACATGTTTTATTATACTGTGTCATTGCGGCGATAACGAAGCAACAAAGATGATACCGCAGACATAGGGCGCTTTTTATTTTAGGCAGACTTGGCCGGTCAGACCGGTCTATTTAGAAGTAAATAATTCCTTTTGTAAATACGTTTTGCCACTGAATAATGGATAGAATTTGAAAACTTGATTTTTCTAACTGAACAGGAATGATATAAAATGACATTTTCTCTGGGTCTGGCCAGACGGTTCTGACAAATGGAAAGCGTCCATTATATCCTATTCCAATATTGATTTAAGGCTCTTTTCTAAATATCATTTCATTTACTAAAGTTTAGTAGAAAATCATAAAAATCGATCCATCAGTTCTAAATATGTTTTCACATTAATAAAAAAATATTAGAAAAAGTTATCCGCTTCCGACGAAATCCATGCTCTAGACATTTGTAGATAGGTGTGACGGGAATGTCATTATCGTTATGGGGAAAGTGTGTTTGTCGTGTGTATTGTAAATCTTATGTTTAGAGTCTGCTTGATTCTTTAAACAAAAAAGGTTTTTGTTGCTTGTATTTAATTAATTCTGTAGAATAAAGGAAATTGTTCTTGATTTTATTAGACATAATAAATTTCTTTGATGTGCCACAATTGTGTCGATGGTGTTGCTATAGTAATAACAATAGACACGGTCACAAATCATTACTAATATATTTTCTAACACCACCCCTGTGCGTATAAACTACAGTGAAGCCACTGACACGATGTACAATGTGATTGCGCTTCGTAGAAAAGAAATAAACAAATAAACATTATCACGATTAGAATAACACAACTGAGATACTTGACCTTCCTAGAAAATGGTAAATGAATAAAGCCTGATAGAATTCCAAGAACAAAACCAAATACAATGGAGAAAATATTGATTTTTGGAAAAGTACCAATAAATATCATGAGAAATAAAGATAAGGCATGTCCATATAAACCACGGAAAGGCTTGGAGACTAGCCCCCAGTCTTTAAGAAGTAAAATGAAACTAGCACCCAGGACTCCTGCAAAAGCTGGTCCTCCGCCTGCCGTCACTGATGTTGAAGATGAGAACAAAGAACCAATCTGTAAGAAAGCAAAAGTCTTATGATAAAAAATACAGAAAAAAACGTGAACTCAAGCAATTGACCTGTGAGAACTGATTACTTATCATTAATATACAGATTGTCAGCATTCTATGTTTGAAAACTTCCGTCCACTGAGACCGGCGCTTCAACACCGTTTCAAAAACGCACTTTAAAAATAGTGTAAATAAAACATTCTAAAAGGATAAAAATTAAAACGACAACTATGCATCAGATTGCTCTCATATTTAATTATGTTTCTATTAAAATATTTCCCTTGTTGTAGCCGGAATTTCAAAAGCTGAAAATCAAAGCTATAAAATTATACGTTCATTTTTTCGATACGTAGCAGAACGAGTTATTTGGGAGTAGACGTGATCAATTTACGTCAAAACCACTGAGCTGAACTTAAAGTATCTTTCAATCATTCAGTGACGTCATAACGACACGTGAGCATAGAGTAGCGTATTACCATATGTCCTCCTGCACCAGCGGTAGTGTGTATCAAAGCCATGCGCAGCCAGCCTATTTTCTTCTCAAGGATACAACCAAATGGAAAACCAATGAGTGTGACCACCACCCCGTCTATGACCCCCTGGGGAATGTAGATAGCGGAAAGAAAACGCCACCACTGGTTGTAATTGGCCGGTAAGCCATCCAATTGCTTGTAATCTTCAATATTAAGGGTTTTGTCATGCGAGCAAACTGAACTCAGGCAGTTGACCTGTGAGAAAATACTCCATATCAGACCGTAAGTCCGTATATGTAGGTTTAAGATTTCCAATAACTGTAAATCTTGTAGTTATTCTCAGATTCTAATTTAATGCGCAGCTAATTCACGTGTCACGTGTCTAGGTGGCGTGGTCTTATAATACAATGACTTTATTTGTAAATATTTGTAAAGAAGCGAAAAAATTTACTTAATCTTACTTCCATGTGCTCTCTGAAGCTCCCATCATCATTGCGGCCGTGAACGAAATACATTAAGTAACGGGTTGTCTTGAGTATAGTAGCTTGTAATAGTGAGATAGTGTACAACTAAATTTTTGATGAGTCCTATTCATCATACTCAGCCTCAGCTTTGAACAGCATTAATTTGATTTACCTGTGAGCAGTGTTCAGCGTGGTAGTGATACTTTCCTTGTAAAAACCAGCAGTGTTGAGGGCTTGTCATCAAACATTGGTTGTTTAGATATGCGCAACATGGACGAATCACGTGAGCCAYGAAGTTTTCTCCTATTGGTCGGTTACTGCATATGGTTGATTTCCAGTCCCCAGTGTTATTAGAAGAGACCGCTGACATACATTCATCCTGAGACAGAAGACAAATACATCGACAAATACGACAAAAATACGTCACACGATCACTTAATATCGCTGATCAACTGAGAACCGCTGTGGCGACGACAGCAGTACTGGAAGCCGATAAAATGCGATGATACATTACATCAAACCAAAATTAAACAAAACAAAAAAACAGTCATATAGAGACTGATGATGACGTGTAATTACCTTGGTTGTTGTAGCTGCTACATTTATCGTTGGTTGCTCACAACATCCCAATGTAGCTTGTGCTAAAGACCTTGCCATTGCAAAATTGTAGCGGTAGTCTTCTCGCATGCATGGCGGATATACAGCACCATAATCGATTAGATTAGCTAATGGTGGACCGAACCAGGGGTTTGGATAAAGGGTGTGGTTAACGTGCGTTGCTCCTTTTAACGTCAGTGGCTCTATGATTGAATATATATACACAAATGTTTTCTAGATCCATCTAACAGCCAAATGCAACAGCGATAGACTAAAGTGTTGACCAAATGAATGATTGGATTATTAGCATTATCATTATCATGGAGAAAAGAAAAGCAAGTTCAGTTATAACCGTTCACTTGGTAGACTTTTATAAAACAAAAGAATATATAAGATGATGATAATGATGCCGCTATAAATTGTATGCATCATTGATTGAAGTAAAAACTACCACGTCAAATTATGTACTGATGGCAAAGCGAACATTGATGATTACCTTTAGTAGAGCGACGTTGGGGGATGATGTCAAAGGTAGTGATACCTGCATTAAAGCATATCCAAACCATCCAAAACACCCGGAAGGAGGACTGAACAGCTGTAAAAGCTGGCCAAAACACTGGTGTCCTTCCCTCAGGAACTAGGAAAATAAAGATCTTTAAGCATTTATACGATAAACAATATTACATCAGCGCTTCAAGGTACGGATTTCATCTCTTCGTGTAAAAAGTTTTTGCTTACTCGTGAGTTATATCTTTTCAACGCTCCAAAATAGAAAAATTCATATCTCCGCACGCTCGTGTAACATCCTCTAAATCATAATAACTATTCCAGGAAACCGGTGTTTAGTTACGTTTAGTTAAACTGGATTAGAATGATTCACTTACCCATATGTACCGCTACAATCCTTTGTACTCAATTTGCATTGTGACGAAACAATTGACGCACGTGCACTACGAACGTTCTAATTGCGCACACGCATGCTGATTGAAGGCATCAGCTCTAAAAAGATCTTTTACGCAGCATAGAAAAATTATCTTCAAACCTTTAAACGGACAACCATTTCTGTAACTAATAAAACAACGGTTATCTTTTCTTATAGTAAATATTTTATTGCATCTAAATGCTTACAGCTTATAAGATCTAATTATTACATGTTGCCTAGACGTGATCATGAGTTAGTGGAGGTCTAGATTGTTTGGAAGACTACCCGCGCTTTATAACTCGCATCTTTTCATTATTCAAAATTATCGCTTCACACACAATACGTACAGCAAAAGCATAAACAAAAAAGTCATTGATACTATTCAGTTTTACTTAGCAAATATTTGTTCAATGATTTTTGCAGGCGTGTGCTCTGACTACGCATATAGTGCAGAATTCCTTTGTTTTTCCCTATTTTTACTCAATTATGTTTTACTGTTTTCCACTCTATAACACAAAGGATTTCAATCTGAAAACGCTGACATTGTTTTCTATCTACTTCGAAAGTTACATGGTGATTTTCTTGGTTGTTGCCCATTTACATCTGTTTTTTCCCCAGTCAGGAAAACTTCCTTCTCTTGTAGATGCCGTTATCCTTACACAATAAATGGTGTGATGGGTCAGTCCGGTAATTACTGTAGATAGGGTTTTGTAATCAACTTCTTTCTTCTTGTATTTTGCAAAGGAACTTTCTTTGATATAAACGGTGTAGCTTACAGGAACGCCGTTCCAGGCATTAACAGGAAGCTTTTCCCATTTCACCTGTACTGCTGTAGAGTTGAGGGCGACGACTGAGGTGATTTGGGGAGACTTTGCAGGAACTGCAAATGATGTAAAATACAATATTAAAATTCATTAAAAACAAGAGATTATTTTTATAATTGGTGGTAATTATTTGGTCTTCCTATTTGGTATCTAAAAATCCGYCTACAATCTGTGGGAAGAAGCGCTGCTGCTCCAAAGCCCAGCATGCATTAGCGATGATAACAAAACAGAATACTGAAATGTGTGAGCTCCGAAATTGCTATAATTCATWCATTTTGAATTGTAATTTTCCTTAGAAAAGTTCGAAACGCAAAGGAGGACGTCAAAGTATTTTAATAGTTAGCTTCAGCAAATTAATGCCATCGCTTTAGTGGAGATTTTTCTCCTCTAATATTGTTAAGATTAAGTTGTTTGTAAACTCTTGTTTTACAATTAAAGAAATGTAAAGAAACGTTTACTCATACCATCTTCAGAGGTGCGGAACCGATAAATAGGAGCAGCGTTCCCACGTTCTGTTCCCATCACACCATAGACGATCAAACTGTACTCGGTATATTTTTTGAGGTTTCGAAGCGTGTATTCAAAGTCAGTTTGTGATGGGCTGGATGGATGGACCTTGATAAGAGGTAAAATACTCCCCCCAAAGGATCCATCCTGGAGCATCAGTTCATAGTGGGTGATTGTACTTTGTGGTGGCCTTGTCCACGTGACGTTTGCCGAAGAACTAGAAAGAACATCCACCTTCAACCTCTCAGGCTTTCCAGGTCCTACGAATAAAAACATCAATCATTGAAATTGTATCTCATCGATGCATTCTCATACCCGAAATCCTGCTTAGTTTCCCTACTGAAAATAGAAGGAGACGATAGTGGAAGATCTTGGTCCTCGTACAATATATGCATAATGATCGGCGCATGGGTATTTTTGAACCAATGAAATCAAAACATAATTCGCTTCCAACCAGAGACTTGGATTTCCGGAGCTGGGAAACTGAGAAGGATCTATCATCAATGCTACCACAAAGTGATTGATATCCATGGCATGCAAAAAGGATGTAAAAATTTTGCAGAAATTCTTTATAATGAAGTACATCATTTCCACACTACGGAAATTTGGTCGTGACTCTGGAAAAATTTTCGAGATCCTGCTAAACAGGTGTCGATCTTGTTCCAAGATTTCAAATAGCCAGTCAGTGCAATCATCGTCGGAATCTGTATAAAGAGGCAAATGACGATAATGATTGATTTAATATAAAAGCTTTTTGTTACCTGTTCTAATACAGCCTGCCTTTTCAATGGTGCCTTCTCGTAAAGTTGTTTTGTAGTGACTACAGGAAATACAGTCTGTCTGTCCAGGTTCTGGTTGGTATGTTCCTAGTGGACATTTTGAGCATGCTTCTTGGAGATTTTCTTGGAATGAGCCGGGTGGACAATGGACTACAAGTAAATCAGTTGGCCGTTTGTAAATATACGAAATGAGTCATGTGCAGTATAATATATGATTTACATGTCATCTATACTATGGAGAAAAGGAAACTGTCGCAGCTCTACTACAAGCTGTGGAAATATTCACATTTTTCAATTACCCTGAACTGTCTGGAAATATCATAACAACAGTATTACCTTGATTTTTATCAATTTAAATTAGATTTTTGTAAGTTCAAACCTAACCATTCCAGTTTCATCCCCTTAATTAAAAAGGTACTTACAAACAACACTTACCACAGAAGAATCCGTTATCGTCCAGCCAGTGACCAGCAGGACATTCAGGTTCAACGTTTACAAATCCAAGTGTGCTGCTAAGACCAATCAGCGGAGCTGAAGGAATGTCATTTACTAAAACAGTTTTGTTTATTGCACTCAAAAGCCTTTTTAATTTGCCAACTAGATTGAGTCTCCCTTCAGAGAACTTTTCCATCATGAGATCCCTGGAGATATCTCCGCTGGTATTCCCTAGTGGGGTCGATATGTACAAAACAACACGTGCAAGGGACGTAGAATAACGTAGATAGCGCAGTCTTGAAATACTCTTTGCTGATACTCCAATTGATCGAGTTACCATCGATATAACACTTTTCCTGAGTTCATCAGTGAGTACAGAGGGGATATCAGGACACCTTGGCTGCTTGCATTTTCTCGTAACGTTAAATATGACTGCTATTTTAGGGGTAGCTATAGTGACGGGCATGATATCAAGTCTTGCCTCGCGACTTACAGCCACACCTCTATTATTCATGGCTTCACAGTAATAATAACCGCTTTTCTCTACACTGTCTGGTGTTATGCCTAAAATATTACTGATTTCATCAGGTAATACAACTGAAATGTTGGATAAAGGTGGTCTGTATAGCCATGTTATGGTAGGGAGAGGTTTACCAGACGCAACACATGAAAATCGTACGGTAGATTCTTTGTCTAATGGTACCTTCGCCGGCAATGGGTGTTCGATAATATGTGGTTTCTCCTCGATTATAATCTTTGTTACTCCAGAAAATGTGCTGCCTTTGTGGTTCCTCGCCATGCACCTGTACAGTCCTTCGTCTTTTTCTTGAAGGTTGTGCAATTTAAGAGTTCCATTTTTATCGGTCTGAATTGAGATATCATCTCTTGTCCAAGAATATTCTATTTCAGACAAACTTGAAGCATTACAGAGCAAAATGGCACTTTCTCCCACGAGGAGCTTAACCAATTTTGGATTCCTGGTTAAAACTTTCGGCTTGTCGCTGCATAGAAGGTTTACGTCTTTGGTTCTTTCCAGTAATGCAGACAAACGTTGAAACGTCTCCTTAACCTGTTCATATGAGATTTCCTCTGTTAGCAAATCAGTTATTCCAGTTGCTAGTTCATCTAACATGTGAACCATCCTTAAAACATCACTTTTATTCCCTAGCTCAAGGTAATATTCTGAAAGACTCTCTTTCAATTCTTCAATGCAATCAACCGATCCCGAGCAGTTTGGAAGTTGTCTAATTTCAGTGACATTTTCGATGTAGTTTTTCCAACTGACCAAAGTTTCATTCCATGGTGTCATTTCTGTTTGCTCACGACGTTCATTCCTGTAAGTAGCAAGCATATGTCTGTAGCTTTTAACAGTACTGTCTTCGGCTTCGTCTAATTTTGCTGGGTTCAGAGACGATACTGCATCATCAAGAGAACTGATCTCTTCTTTCAGTTTTGTATCTTGGTCGTCCTTCGACTCCATGACCATTCGAAGAGAATCAAGAATGTCTGACATATATAAGCTTGCGTTCCTAGCAAGCAGGCAGCTATCTATATCTGGATCATGACTGGAGTCAGCTGAGAGTGCTAGCGATCTTCGTTTTCTCGAGGAAGTAGTATATAGACGTATAGCCTCTTGTGTTGCATAACTGAGCGATGAGTTCATATTATCAAAATCTATGACAAAATCAAGTGACAGATCCTTTCCACGTTTTCTTTTGATAGTTGTTTTGAATGGCAGACGCCGTTTTGATAGTGTTGAAGACACTGTCTTAAAGGACAGGCCAGGAACTCTGAAAGGGCGATCAGGAAAAGATACTCTAACGATTCCCTTAACCTTAAAGCCCAGGTCAACTTTAGGGATACTTTTTACCTTGTGATAAATCCGTCTGCTTGTGTTTTCCAAGGCGATAAGTTGGTCTACTTTAGCCTTCACGATCTGGACATTTTGCAAAGCAACCTCTTTTCGAAGTCTAACCTCTTCAAGTCTCATAGCCACATCAACCACTTCACTCTCTGTTGAAACCAGCTTATGATATTCTTCAAACAAGCTTGCATTAAAAGCGCTTTGTGTCATCCGGAACTCAATTCTTCTCTGATTGAAGCAGTTTCTATTTTCCTTAACGCAGACGGGATCAAGAAATTTCACACAGTCAATATCTTTCCTACAACAGGTTCTTGGCCTGTATCCATTTGACAACATGTTGGCCATTCGCGGATTCTTGCATATCCATTTTTTTATTGGGATTTTCGTATCATTGAGAGTAGTTCTTATTTCTTTGTATTTGCGAGATTCTGTTGCACCGACAGTATCCTGGTATTTATGTGTACACCCAGAGTTCTTGCTGGCGTCAATGGCACTGTTAACGATATTCGAAACAGGACTAATAACATTTGATGCAGTTTTAATTATTTTGCCAACAGTCTTAAAGAAACTTCGTTTATTACGTCGCTTTCCTCGCCTGCTGTTGAATGGAATAGGATTTGCATCTTGTAAGTCAGGAAATACGCCATTTTGGACCAGACCCCTTAGATCTTCGAGACTATCCGTTCCAATCGTTTCTTCTAGAATCTTTTCAAAGTTGACCGGCATTTTTGAAATTCCATGATAACCTTGATGAAGTATTTTGTCAAAACTCGGACGAACAATATCTCTTAATCGCTGACTTAGATACTTCTCAACATTTACATCTCCTCTTAAGGCTGGGTTTCTTCTCTTCAAAGCACTGTCTAAGTCTAGATTTATATGTTCAATTGATGGATAAACTCCTTTTATTAGATGATTAAGATCCAAGTTTTCTATTACTTTAATAAGTGGTATTGCTCCTTCGAGAATCTCGCGCAATTCAAATTTCTTCTTTAAACTTGGAAAAGCGTTTATTAACACGTAATCGACATCAAAATCAGTTCTGAATTTCGGAAGGACGCGTTTTAGAATTTCGTTGAGTGTTAGAGTGTTTAGCATAGTTTGATTCACTTTAACAGACATCAAGTTCTTAATTTCGTTTGTAATTAGATCATCCAACTTGAACCGAAATCCTGGAAACTTCCTGGACAAAGACGATTTCAGACTGAATCCAGGAACTCCAGCCGCGTTAGCAAGTAGATCGTCAAGATGTTTTGCCTGAGGGCCAACTCCAAGAACTGCGTTTTTTATCAGTATATTTATGTTGAATGTTGCATTAAGCTGTGGTAGTTGGTTCAGAAGCAGTCTGTTGAGATCAAAATCCACAGGAAACCCACGAAATTTAGACTTTATAATGTCATTGACATCAAAATAATCCAACTTCGTTTCATCAAATGAAAATACAATAATGCCACCCAGGTATTTCTGCACTAAATCTGTAATACTGAAAGTGTTATTAAGTTGTGGTACAGCTTTTCTGAGAACTTTATCAAAATCTCTAGCCAATCTTGGTGACAGACTTTCAAGTTTGTTTCTAAGTTCGATAGGTGTCTTCAGTCTTGCTGCTTCAGTAACGATGTTCTTTAAAAACTCATCAAAAGAAAAGGTTCTTGCTAGTGCAGGAACAGCCTGTAGAATTTCTCGGTCTATATCAAAGTTTGCTGGTAGAGCAGGAAACCGCTCCTTTAAAAGTTTGTTGATATCGAAGTTATGCTGTTTCAAGATATAAGACTCCAGTGCGGTATTGAAATCAAAATCCTTTGGTAGTTCAGGGATTTTCCTCCGAAGTGAGGTATTAATGTCGAAATTGCGTGATAATGACGGATCTCGACTCCGTAGATATTTATTTATGTTTATATTCACCTTTCTTTTGTTTCTGGGTTTGTTTTGATCTTGTTCGATGCTTCTCTTTCTTCTTTTTCCTAACAGTTTAGACAGACCAAATGTTAAGACTCCCTCAGCAAAGGATGTTATCCAATTTTTACACTTGCCAAGATCTTTTCTGATAGTTGGAGTCGTGAGGTATGTTATCATTGCAGACGTTGTTTTCGGCATCAGCTTAACAATGTAGGAATCCTCATATGAACAATCAGCTTTTTGGTACTGGACAGTTGCTCTGTCCCAGCACATATCCTCTATGCAAGTTTTATTGCAAATTCTATTGCATTGTGTGAGAGTGCAAGACTTTCTGCTAGACATAGTCATGTTATAGTTTTCGAGAGCGTTATCAAACCAGTCAATCACCATAGCGTGAAACGCTTTTTTCCTTTTAAGGAGTTTTTGAAGAGATGTTTCGTTCTTCTTTAGACTTTCAAATTTGGCCTGCGTTGAGTTCAGCAATTTTTTTGCATGTTGTGTTTTTAACGTTGCATTTTGAAATGCAGATTTTGCTTTCATGACTCTTTTCTCGGATTTTTCAATCAAATCTAATGCATAATTATTCAATCTTTCCTCCAGCATTCTCGTTAGACTTGACTGATTGTCCATTTTTCCACTGGCTTTGAAAACAAGGCTTCCCCAATCCTCCACAGCACTATCGGCCACGATATCTACATCACAATCGAATTTATTAAAGATTTTGGCTTTCAATTTGGTTGTTAATTGGCGATCATTAACATTGACTCTTGCCTCTTGAGAAATACCAAATATGGTAACAATACCGCTGAACTGAAGTAGTTGGGGAGACAGTTTTATTTCCATTGCCTGCTTTCCTTTGATTGTAATAATTTTACTCACTTTTCTATTTTTTGATGATATGGCTATTACCCGTAGGTACTGTTTGTTTTTGCAGTCGCCATGGCTACCGCCCTTGCTCGCGCCAGTCATTACATCTATCGAAGCTGTCACATCAGGAATACAAAGTTGTCCCAGGCAAACTTTTGCGAGTGTACCAACAACGAGTCCCTTGAGACCCTGCTTGAGTGGAGATCGCATAGCAGTGAGTTTTAATGGTTTTACTGTTTTAATGTTTTGCTGAAAGCTTTGAATGCCGAATTTCAATGTCTGTGCCTGAACATTTGGCTTGGATGCTGATAGTTTGTTTGACAGAGTCGCACAAAGGGAAAGTGCTTCTGAGATCAAATTTGTTATTGATGAAATAGTTATTTGGAATTCATGAGCTTGTGTTCCTTGCAGCTTATTTTGCATGTTTACATTGACGACCTGATTCGCTTYAGCAGTTAATGTATCGAGCTCGGTGACAATGTTAAGTAGTTGTGATAACTCTGACTGTAGTTGAGGGAGTGAAGCAGCTGATCCTTGCAAGGACAACTTAAACGGTTTTACAACAAAACCCAGGATCATGAGTTTCATTTTAACATCTGGAGGTATTTTTACACCAGTTTGCCCGCCTCCTTCAATGCTGTGATAAATGGTGACATTCATTAATTGTTGCAGATATGGGAGAATATGATGTGATAACTGAGATGTCTGGAAAGGGTTATCTTTGGATTTGAATGTTATATGTGCTCCTTGTGAAGATCCACATCGAACTGGCAAAACTCCATTAGCAGCATTTCTGGCGCCTTGATAAAAAAAACAACAACAATAAGAACTAATTGCGTCATTTTAAAGCAGTTGCACTTGATCAGTGATTGGATAAATGCGAATGAAGAATATATGCCACCCTTTCAAAGAATCATGTGATCGAGATCTCGCTTCACCTATACAAATCTCCCCAAAGAAAACAGTATTCAGATTTAAAAATCATAAATAGCTTTATTTTTAAACTGTACAATCCTTTGAAATAAAGCATTCGATCCAAGCTAACCTCCATACTGGAACTTCACACTTGTTTCATCGGACGAGAACTTCAATGAAGTTTTTCGAGAACTCTCTTGTATGGTGGATTTCACGGACAACTTTCCTTTGAATTCTCCAGACATAGAACACTCGAATTGTCGGGTGAAAATCTGGAAATAAAAATAACCCGTCAGTTATACAATAGCCTGGACCGACGTAGTGGTGATTTTAGGGCCTCCAATTCGGACTGGATATTTTTTTAAACTTCAGGTCATCGCAATTAGTTCCACTCCTCCTCCTTGTGAATTACAAGTCAAGTCAAGTTTGATAACAAACAATAGACTCCATCCAGTCCCAATTGTAGTCCTTGAAGAAATAACTAAAGGACGACAATGAAAACTGAACGGTAGGCTTTTTGTCGCCATTCGATCGGCCTGATCCACCGAAATTCCTAATAAAATGATCACGAGGGAGTGGAATAAGGCTTGGAACACTTTTCAGATTCTAAAAGCTTTGGGAAACTGGCCTGCAGCTCATCATCATATGACTGTAGACAATTATTAGCTGTAGTGTGTTTTACCTGATCATAGCACGCGGATCTTGTTGTAAATTCCCCAGTCAAGTTCAACCCAACAGAAAACCGAGGTTTGCTTAAGACTATTTGCGAATTGCCATCCATCCAAATGTCAAAGTCATCTTTTTGTCCTGTACGTTCATTTCTTCTAAGTCCAAATTTCGATATATCAAAGTCCCAGCCTGCATTCTTCATATTCTGAATGGCTGCCATTCGATGAAATATTTTTCTTGCTTTTGGAGAGAAGTCTATGAACATCTTATTTTTACATACATCCATGGCAAAGCAAGCCGACTCGCTCGACCCAAATTCTGTTCGTTCTCCATCAATTTGGATGTTAAATGATATTGACGGTTTGTAGAACAAATTGTTTGCGGCTGAAGATGTTAGGGGAAGACGCTCACAACTTCCTGGTCCATGAGAAGGTGGCTTGCCTAATAAAGCCATAAGATTTGAGACATCAAACAGTTCATTATTCTTATCGACATTAAACTGAATCCACTTTGGCAATAGACTTGATAAAGAGTTTATCATTGTATTTGGAAACGCGTCTGTCTGAATAAGCTCAATAACATGAAAACTGGTCATTGACAGGTCTTCGCACTTGCCGTCTCGTTTAATGAAAATGGAGCTGTTCATATTCCTTGAGGATATTGCATGAATTGATTCTATTAGAGCTTTCTTGGAGGGAGCAAAGTTTTCTCCTGCACTCGTTCCAAAGAGAGAAATAGGATAACTTGTGTCTTTTGTCATCAAGTGAACTATTCCTGCGGTGCGTGTTTTCATCCAGGGTTGACTTGATACTAACTGTGACTGGCATTTGCCATTTAGTGAACTGTATTTATGGCATCCGACTGGTATACTTTTATATGGAATTTTCAGTGCGTTAAAGACACTTATATCGTCGTCTTTAGACTTTACGTACACGGTACTGTTGCTTGGTACTTTGTAGTGTTTGGCATCTTGGCCGCCAAGAGAGTAAGATATCACATGAAGGCCTGGTCTTAAAGGGACGATGCTGAATGTTGCTTTTTTAGTCGATTTTGAAATACGAAGCTTACGTTTGGGTTTGATGATAAGAGATTTAGAAGACTTTATGATGACAACAAGGTCATTCTTAGGCTGTGCATAGAAGTGATATATCTTGGATTGTTCATTCACTTTTAGCTTTTCAAAAACTGGTGTTGTTAAAATTCCTGTTTGGCACTCAGAACCCTCGAACCCAGTTCCTACGCAGTCGCAACCATAGTTTCTTCCCTGAATCAAGCACTTCCCATTATTTCTACAAGGATTTGGCTGACATATTTGAAGTTCTGAATTCAAAAACAAAGAGGAAGAAAAGAATAAAGACTTATTGGCATTTTTTGATCGCTATTGGTTGGTGTATAAGTTATTTTCTAAAGCAATAATCTCAATGCACGATCGTTAAATTATGAGCATTATCTAGCGAACATATGAAAATTCACATTGTACACAGTGAGTAGAAAACTGTTTTGCGTTTCTCGCTTACTGGTGCATTTGAAGTTATGCAGGTTCCATGACATGTCTCCAGAATTCTCAACTTCACACGTCGCTACACCATCGCCATGTTTATCGTAAAAACCTTGTTGACATTGTAAGGTACACTGTGACTTGAACGTCTTGTAGCAGGGCAGAAGTATTACAGCATTATCTGGGACCTGGAGCTCATCACAACTCTTGACTATAGAAAAATGTGTAATCATGAAGTTGACTAGTTTTCCTTTGAAAATTGATATTAGTATGAGCCTTCAAAGCTTACTATTGGTTATTCTTAAAATTCTAGTACGGGCGCCAATAGCCTGTTACTACACAATAGAAAACAAGCAATTTACACATAGATTCGAGGCTAAGCAAGCTTGCACTGGAATTTTTGAATAGTTGATAAAGAATTTGAAATATTCAAATGAAGAGTGAATGCAGTAAACGTTAGTAAGATTATCAGACTCGCCTTTACAGTACGTCTTGATTCCATTCCACTTGGATGACGGTAAACAAGTTCTGGTTTTTGAGCCATGAAGCTGGTAACCAGGCTCACATGAGAATTGGCAGCTCGCGTCAGTCCAAGAACCATTACAGCGGATGTTGCCATTGGCAGGTTGCTCAATGGATTCACATGGAACAGCTGGTTAACAGAAGAACAGTAAGATTAGATTTAGATCCAGAATTGCAATTTGAAGTGTAACGCAGCTAATGCGAAGTTTAACAACAGCAATGCATTGCGGTCACAATCCAGTATTCTGTATTCAACGTTTTCTAAAATAGCTGTATACACTTTCTCTGTCTGATGAAACTCCTTTTATAATTACAGCAACAGACATGAAATAGGGAGTCATTTAGAACTTACGTCTGCATGCTTTTCTGTCAGCGGTTAGGGAGTATCCAGGCCTACATGAACAAACATAAGATCCAAAGGTGTTGGTGCATTTATGATCACATCTATGCGTTCCGGAAAAGCATTCGTCTGCATCTGAAATCAAAACAATAGCATTAGATTTTTTCATTTGTTTTAACTGAATTTGAACAAATTCAATCTCGTACGCAGCGCCACTGTCCCTCTTACTCGCAGGCTCACAGGTGAAATTTCGAAAATTTCTCGCTCTCTGATTGGCTCATAAAATAAACAGCTTGCCGCCGGAAGTGAAAATATCACGGAGAAAAACACTCAAATCATTCTGTATTTCGCTACCTCACCTTGAATTCTTCCTTTAAAAGCATTTATTAAGTCTATGAAGTAGGAATTTGAGAGTAATATGATCAATTAAGTATAAAATGGAATACAACGAGGCGACGAACTGTCACGCCATGATAATCCCCTACCCAGGAACCGTGACTGTCTGCTACTATCTGATCATAATAGATATCAAAATAGCTTCGAAGAAGATAGATTTATCCATCTAAGGTATAAAAAATCCCTTTTCTGACTTCGAAGGCTTTCATTTAGCCGATTTTCTTTAGTAAAATCAGTAAAATAAAGCCGTTATATCGAATTTCTACTGCGCATGGGTGAAATAGCCTGATTCTGGCTTCCGGTGTTTGATATTTCCAGAGCCACTGGTTTTCGTCGAGCCTGTGAGCCTGCGAGTAAGAGGGACAGTGGCGCTGGGTACGAGATTGGAACAAATTTTCTCCATTGTTCAATTTCTTTGCCAGTAACAATCATGATGTGAGCTTCTGGTGAACTGATGGTAATAATTACGGTGGCTGATAAGGGCCATGCCACAACAAAAATTTCCATGGTATTTATCGCGCGATAAGTTATAATTTTATCGCGCGATAACTCAATTAATCGCGCGATAAAAAATTTATCGCACGATAACGAAATTAATTATCGCGCGACAATGTCCATTTAGCACCCAGGTCCCGAAGGCCATTTGTACATGACAAGATGGCGAAGGTGAGTCGACAGAATAATCCACATCGCTCCACAAAACTGAATATTTCACGGGTGCAATTAAATATTTCTTGTGTACCTTTGCACGTCTTCCCGTCATTTCGCAACAGATATCCTCGTTTGCACGAACACTTGAATGAGCCCACAGTGTTTATACACAGCTGTTCACAGTCAGATAGAGAAGCATTGCCAGCCAAGCCTTTTACTTTTTTCAGGGAACATTCGTCGACGTCTGAACATCAAACAATAAAGTTTAGAAGAACACGTACATTGTTCTGTTTTAAAAATTTATACAGATGCTATTGTTGTTGATGACGTAATTTATGTTGTTGTTGTTGTTGTTGTTATTGATGATCTTATGGCTTTTACCGCTGGTACTGTTGTGATTTCTATTTCTTTATAATATAGATGTGATAGTACGAACGATCTGATTGGTCACGGGTCCAAAAACGTGATTTATTTCGCCGGCAAATGCACGCTCGCGAGCTAGACTAACGCTCTATCATAAAAGCTCGCTGCGCTCGTGATTCTTTAAGCCTGTTTTCGTGCATGTTCTCCCAACGTCCCTGCGCGCTTTATTTCACCACCATAAACGCAATGCAATCCAGGCATCCTCTATTGCTTAGTATTTAAGTCTACTAGTAGAGTCATCACACTTGTACCGTGAAACAAAATCAAAGAAGTAGTAACTATTAGTTTTTATTTTCTGACTCATTGTATGAAATAGTAGATATCACTGAACCAAAACAATTCTTAAAAACAAAAGGTAATACACAAGAGACTTGGAAGCCAAACAACGTTATTAAAAGCTACCTAATGAAGAAGGAGGAATTTGTTAAAAAATGTCCCACCCACAATTAAGGAAAGAAATAAAGAGCTGCTGGTTTAGTTCTTTGTTAAACCCAGAGGAAAGATGTCGGGAAGGGCTAGAGCTTGTGTTAAACGTAGGCTTCATGGAAATCGAGTTTATTGAAAGGAAAAAAAGAGGTGATTATAGGATGAAAGTGAAATAGATAGCTGTATAGTAACTAACTTTATAACTGTTACGAGTGCTGCTTGAAATAATGATTTGGTAACTAATGTCCCATGCTCAAAAGGTACGTATCTCAAACATTTCCGAAATGATTAATAAAATTTATTGTGTTTTATTTTGAGCTTCAAGCAAAGGATAAATATAAAACGTCACCGCTGGTTGTTGTCAAGTCGCTTTTTTATATTGACTAGTCAAATAACTCAGCTTTGAGCGATAGAATTCGTTCGAAACCACGTTGTTTATAGATTTTTGCGGGTCATTTCAGTGCGTCTTGTCTTGATATTTAGTTTAGGCTCTTATAATAAACTCGTTATAAAATACGTTCATTTGCGTACTGGGTTTGATATTGTTACAGTATTTTCAATTTAGCCTTACAATGTCTTCTATCTTAATTTGGCTGCGGCGCAGAGAATAAAGATTACAAACGCGTTTCATTTAGTCTTGTGTGGTTATTTTAGCTTTAGATTTGTCTTGTGTCTTGATTCTACAGCAGCGCAAATAAATGAAGATTCGTTAAACGCGTTTCCTTGCATATTGTGTGGTTATTTTAGCTTTAGATGTGTCTTTTGTCTTGATTTTACGGCAGCAGCGCAAATAAATAAAGATTCGTTAAACGCGCTCCCTAGTGTATTGTGTGGTTATTTTAGATCTAGATGTCTTTTGTCTTGATTGTACATGAAATAAAGATGGCAGTTGTCAAGTCTCCTGTGTATTGCCTTTTGTTTTCATKAACTGTGTTCTGGTTCAGTAATWTCTACTATTAGTCAATAAATAGACACTAATATTTACTGTTTATTTTGATCATATTTCACGGTGCAAGTGTTATGACTCTACAGTAATTGTTGTCCTGAATGTCAACTTACCTGAGCATGTGAACTTATCGTCGTTTGAAGTGAAACCCTTTGGACAGGAACAGTAGTAGCTACCCATGGTGTTATTACACAGCTTTTCACAGCCATGGTATGGAGTAAGACACTCGTCTATGTCTAGAATCGACAAAAGAGATCATCAATAGAATGGTCGACTAGAAACCTTGTCAATCAAACATTCATTAAACAAATCCAATCAATCAATCAATCAATCAATCATGATTAGTTGAGTAATTAGTAAACTCTAAAAGAAAGCAACAGCGATGAATATCATGTGGTTTAAACGCAAAATTGCTCACAACTGACCTTTGAAGGTCTAATGGGGTTGTCGTATGCTTTTAAAATTGCAAAACTGTACACGCTACGCCCCTGCATACGTGTTAGGCTTCATAAAATCTCAATCAACGAATATTGATTATTAATTTACCTGAACATCTTTTCCGATTAGCGTGGAGTTTGAATCCAATGCGACATTGACAAACGAAAGATCCATAGGTATTCAGACATCTGTGTTGACAGGCACCACTCAAGAGTGCACATTCATTAATATCTAGATATAACAATGACGTCATTAATCACTGCAAACACGAAAACCATGAAAACTTTAATCAAATAAATTTAGCCTGCGTAGCGGCCCTTAAGGTATTGGGGAGGGACGAGCGGAGAATGGAAGACGGAGTTTGACATTTAAGACTATGTACTCAGCCGGGTAGTTCACTCCAGAGATTACAAACCATAAAGGATGTAGTTTGTCTGCCTACATTTGTTCTCGCTTTTCCTTTATAAAAATTTTGTTTACTGGCATGTCCTGTGTTATATCTGTGAACATTGCTGGCGTATTATTCAAACATGTGATTAAATATGTTTGGTAATGCCCCACAATGCCATAGATGCGTAAGTTGAAAAATATGTAGGCGATATATATTGTCAACATTAAAGATATTTTAGTGGTTACTAATGAATATTATGTGTTAAAACAGACAATATATTAGAACGATTTCACATAACGATACAAAAAATGCAAATAGGTTTATTTTATGCAAATTTATTGACTGTAATATGAATTCAATAATAATACAGACAATAATACAGTAATACAGACTCTATTCTCTCACTTATTGCAGCTTTTTTGCTACTTTATATAATTACATCACAACAAAACACAAACATTTCATTTTCCAAGCAGACTTGACATGCTTCAGTCTTTGTGCCAAGCTTTTCTATAATTTCTATCATAGCACATGCAGAACTGTACCATGCAGCATCTAGTACAAGCTTAGCTTCAAATATTTTCCAAAAGCTTGACACGTCTTTCAGCCAAAAATATCACAAGATCAATGGCAGGAGGGAGTAACGGTGGAGTAACCACCTTGGGTGTCTCTTGGGAGTCAACTAATTTTTGATAAAGCCGTGCAAAGGCTGGCCAACAAAAACTCAAGTCCGTAATTATATTTGGGCTCAAAAAAGACTGTTTTGTTTTGCTCATGATGAATGACAATAAAATCCAATTATAAGATAGGAAACAATGCTGTAATAAGTGAGAAAATGAAGCKTGTATTGCATCATTACATGAGGTTATTTTACAGTCAATAAAATTTGCATAAGATAAACCTATTTGCATTTTTTCTATCGCTATGTGAAATCGTTCTAATGTGTTATCCAGCGCTATTTATTCAGTTTGCATTGTATTGATGCTTGTCTCTTTTATTGACTGTGAATTTCCTGTTAAATATTGTTATCGCATTCATTACTTAATTGCACAAATCTGTCCCGACGTGCGTTGCAGCTGCAAATTGTGTTCCGAAGTTCCGAAAGGATTAAGGCGCCAAAATACGAGATACAAAAACCATCAACTTGGCGCGCAACATTGTTTCTGTTCAAGTTTAGGTTCGATGCTTCTCGTTTTTCATCGCGCGCGATCAGCTTGGCACGTACGCAACAAAATCCTCTGTTGCTAGTTGAAGAAATCTCGCACGCTGATTAGTTGATTTTGTTACGTGCCAAGTTTCAATCTCATTGAAAAACGAGAAACGGAGCCAAAATTGGAATCTGAAAGTAGAGTCTACTTTGCACAACAACTTTCTTCAATTCGCAAAACAGAAGATTTTGATGCGTGCCAAATTGATCGCGAAAAAAATTCCTATATAAATATATTAGGAATACCTTCACATGTAGTGCTATCTTTTCCCAAACGAAATCCCTTCATGCAATCGCATCCATACGATCCCGGCATGTTGACACAATTGGAGGTACAGTTGTTTGTTAAAGGTGAAAGACACTCATCGATGTCTACAAAGGATATTTCCATTATCAATGCAAGCTAACGCACAAACTAATCAACAGACGGATACATAAAATTTGTAATTTGCTGACTTTTCCAGAAGTCCCCGTCGTCTGTCCAGTTTGTAAAACTGTAATCAGTCGAAGTAAATCAAGTATTATTTTTATCAAAATAAGCCCTGTTTTCGCAGACCATATTGCTCTTGAACTTCCTTCGCTACATTGCTCATAGCAAAGTATGATTTCTATCAAATTAAAAAAATGTTGTTCCGCAAAAAGGTGAAAATATAATCGTGATGCAAACTTCACTTCGTTCGCCTACATCGACTATATCTTGTCTCTTGAAATAGTATCAACAAGGACCAATCAGGTGCCGTTCTAGCCTCCTCCGCAGTCATCACTAAGAATCACGGGCTTCCTCTCTTTTTGAGGAGTCAAAAGAGGGAGAATGGGGGCGAGAAAAGGGAAGCGTGTGACTCCTCCTCTTCTTATTTTTCGTCACTAGTCCCTAGCGGACAAGATGGCCGTTACAAAGGAAGGCCAAAGGTTGAAAAAAGAGTTGCCTGGGGAGGAGGCTAGTGACGTGTTATATGTGCGCACGTCGTGATTGGTTGTCTAAAAATAGATTTTAAAAGAATGAATATGTGTTTTCCTGAAAAAAATGGCATGAGTGCTACGCCTTCATGAAAACAAGGAGGTTTGAATTTCTCATGAAATGTAAAATCACACAGTTTGGATTATATCAAAAAGTCCTAATTTTAACCAAACTGTGGCGAGTACCACTATACAATCAAGTTCATTGATATATAGTAGGGTTCAAGCCACCTTAAAAAATGTTGCTGAAGAACTCCTAAAATCAAACATATTCAATTTGTTCCATTGTTAAKTCATAAAGACAACAACAAATTCTGCATTGTCATAAAAACTCCCTGCAGAGAATTTTGATTTAAAATTCCAGATAATGCTTGTAAGTTAAATGTTATATATTGACAATGTCATGCGTATGCAATTGACTTTGTTGTTTTTCTTTATTGCTTTACAGATGAACATACTTTAGTGGGATTAAAACTATATAATACATATACGGTCTCATTAGCAAAAGGTCTGAAATGACAATACCTTCACAAACAGTAGAAGAAGCCAATCTATAGCCTTTACCACACGAGCACTTGAAGCTACCAATGGTATTGCGACAAAATGCACCACACTGACTGTAACTGTTAGCACATTTACACGATAAACTTTCGCATTCGTCCATATCTAACACAATGTAAAATTGTTAAGAACAAATCATTGAAAACAGTAGAATGGACGTTGTATTCTATTTAACAATTAGATCTTGAGGGCGAGTGGACTAGGAGCTGATAGCCCGAATGGGCTGTCAGATCGTAGTCCACGAGGCCGAGAGATCTAATTGTTTTAGTATTACCATACTAGTTGGACAAAAAATGAATGAAATATATAAATAACTAAATGTTTTATTGCTAAAAATACGCAAAACGTTGTCGCTTTTCGCTAGTCGAGGACTATTGAAAATAGACCCCGAGTATAGCGTAGCCAATCAGAACGAGGGATTTGCAATAGTCCACTAGTATGGTAATACTAAAGATGAATAGATAATAGGCTCTCTCATCCCCTTTTCTGGCTATCACGACTTTTCACCAAAGGGATATTGAAGTTCTCAGGATTGTTGGAAAAGAGTACTGTTAAAACTGGCAGCAATTATTACCTTGACAGCGTGTCTTGTCTTGCTTGTCTTGTTCGTAGCCTATTGGACACCCGCACTTAAAGGATCCTGGAGTATTGGTGCACTCATATTGGCAGCCACCATTGTTTTGACCGCACTCGTTTACGTCTGTTAAAAAGATTGAATAAAACAGTCCTATCACCAACGTCAGAACAAACGTCAGATCAGAGGGGGTGCGAAAATCTGTTGAAAATTTCTCTGAATGATTTTAATTTCAAAGTTTCCGAGGAACATGCTCACGGTCCCCTCTAGTTCTGTTCAGATAGATATAGGACTAGATCTAAAATATGGCTTCATATACCACTAAACTAATTTCGATAAATCATGCCAAATACCTTTATCGCAAAGATCTCCTGTCCATCCTTTGGGACATTTGCACCTGTGTGTGCCTCCGATGCAAGTACCACTGTTATGACATCCAAGTCTACAATAAGCTAATGAATGACAATGTAAAAATACAAAAAATGTTAACAAACTACCGAATAGAATTCTGCAAAAGTGTGAAAGTACTCCAGTTTCAAAATCTCTTTTACATAAGGCCTAGCTGTTGCACAAAATGTCACAGTATTTAACTTTACTATTTTAATTACAATATATTTTTTACTGAAGAAAAGAATATATTTTATTCTTAGAGGGCTAAGGCTGAGTGAATAACAACTCAAAACTGGAGTAATCGGAATTTTCCACATTATTTCAACGTCTCGCGCTGCCAGTCTTTCCTAGGATACACGCCGACCGATTATTCATATACTTACGAATATCACATTCATAATAATTCCCTACGCTTCGTTGTCTCCATCCATCACAGCAATAAAGTTCAGTAACGTAGGTTTCCTTTGTGTTTATTACATAAAGTGTTTTTGTGGCTGTTCTGAAGGAAAGAATGAAATCGTTCATCAATTTAGATAGAATTTTAGACTAACTAATCTCTCGCTTTTTAGAACACCCCGATAGTACAGTAAAGTAATCCCCGTTACAAATGAATGACTAAAATCTGCTCTCTTTAAAGTGTCTTAAATCCAGGCCAGGGAGTTGCCTTTTAAAATCGCTGCAACTTTTAAAACGCGTATTAAGGCGAAAAGAAAATTTGCCGGAGTGATAATTGCGCCTGGTATCCTGAAGTCTAAAGGCGGCGTCTCATTTAGGGAAACTGTCAGATTAAGCCGTCTTGAGGTGACTTTGGGTGACTTTCTGGTCCGAATTAGGCCTCTTTACAGCGTACAATCAAATATACTCAGTGATTGCTAAATAAAAAAAACCTAGGTAGTCGTCCATCAAAGCGAAACGAGCGTTGAGAGTGCAATGAGAGAAACCTTCTACAGCAACTACAGGCAAACTACAGACGGGCAAGTATGGCTACCTTCCAACGCGGCGCAGGGAACCATTAGGGGAGACCATTACGACACGTATACCTTTTGACATTACATCTAGCCCAGCCAAAGATTCCACAATTTGTATTTCTGGATACTGGAAAGTGGGAGACTGTAGACACCTTGTAGCTCTTTGTCACTACTTTTGTCATTTCGCAGACGTTCTTTCTGTGGAAATTAAGTAAGCTCTATCATTCAGTCAGCTTGAAGCCAATCATGCAGTCATTCATACACAGTAATTTTACAATTAAAGGCAGTCGTTGACTGCATGTGGCAAGCTGTCAGATCGTTTGAAAATGCGAAGGAAAACGTAAATTATAACGGTGAAGTAAAATCTATGTTAACTTGATGGATATGGTGTTTTCTGTGACCAGATGAAGCGAACGTCGATTAATTCTAATTTGTTGAGATGCCCCAAAAAGGGCAGTATTTGTTCCTCGAAAGGAATTCACGATCTCTTCTACGATATTATTCACGATCTATTTAAGAAATATAAAACGGTGCGCATGTCTCTGTCCTCTGATATGAACAAGGGTTAGGGTTAGGGTTAGGGTCCTAATACATGCTCTTACACAGATGAATGTTTTGGAATATCAAAAGGACTCGAATACCAAAGAATTACTAAAAAAAACTACAGTAAATCCCGGGCAGTTACTGCTGTTCTATGATACGGTTGTTTTCCGAGTACGTAATGTGATTGGCGATCGGCAGGCAAAGGTCGACCCGAATGCAAAGGTCTCACATAGAAAAAAAAAATATACGCGCTGCAGAGGACATTTGACTTAAGGTGTTTCATAGTGGTTGGCACTCCCGCGCACCTATCATTTTTAAACGGCCGTTTAACCAACTTAATCAAACTCGATTTTCTTAAAATAAATAGGCAATGTTGTACTTAGTTGGAAAATTTAAAAACATGTATTTTGTTTTAATTTACTGCAAAACTAGCAGTTTTTTGGTAGAAAGAAAGAATTCAAAGAAAGCTGTTTTCCCACCAATTTCGATGGCACCTAGAAAAATCAAAAGTACCGCGTTTAACTGTAGGTTATAGCTAATAATATATCTCAAAATCATGGAAATTCTTCTAGCCGATTTTTAGAAAAACGATTAAACATGTATATGTGTTGCGTTTTTGTGCTTTGACGAAGACGCTCACAATCGGCCCATATTCATCTTTTGGAGTTCGAGACTTAGCTCTTGAGTGGTTCAAATCCTATCTTAGTAATAGGCAATTTTATGTCAGTGTCCCGGAAGGCAAATCTTCTTCTCGGCCTTTTGATTGTGGTGTTCCTCAGGGATCAATTCTAGGACCAATCTTATTTTCATTATATGTTTCACCCATAGCAGATATAATTCATCAGCATGAGCTGGGCTATCATCTGTATGCAGATGATACACAATTATATATTTCTTTCTCTACAACATCTTTATGTGAAATGACAGCAGCAAAATCCAAGGTTGAGGCCTGTGTCAAAGATATTGATTTATGGATGATTAAAAACAAGCTTAAACTTAACGGTGATAAAACTGAACTAGTGGTACTTTCAGCTGCACATCGCCCTTTCTCATCAGAAGTGTCACTTAATATTCTTGGCTTTGACATTTTATCTTCTTCTTCTGCACGAAATATTGGGGTAATTTTTGACAAAAAACTTTCGTTAGAATGCCATATAACAGCAGTATGTAAATCATGCTTTTTCCACATTCACAATATTTGGAAAATACGCAAATGGCTCAGTGTCAGTGCGTGTGAAACACTTGTGCATGCTTTTATCTCCTCTAAATTAGATTTCTGTAATTCTTTGCTCTATGGTCTTCCAAAGTCCTCTATAAGCAAGCTACAACGCGTGCAGAATGCGGCAGCAAGATTAATTTCTTTTACCCGCAAATGCGACCACATCTCGCCTATTCTTTACAACTTACATTGGTTGCCTGTAGAGCAACGCATTGATTATAAAATTCTTTTAATTACCTTTAAGATTCTTAATGGAACTTCTCCTTCTTATCTTTCTAATCTTATCGAGCCTTATAAACCCTCACGTTTTTTAAGATCTTCATCGGCCAACTTGCTGTTTAAACCATCTTTTAACCTTAAATTTTATGGCAGAAGATCTTTTTCTTTTGCAGCTCCTGAGCTATGGAACTCTATCCCCGAGAACGTCCGTGGAGCCAAATCAATTTGTATTTTTAAAAAGGAAATTAAAACTTGGCTTTTTAAGAAAGCCTTTTCACTTAAATAGTTCTGTATTTTTAATGTTAAATAATTATTATTGTATTAGTGTTTTATGCAAAATATAAAAAAAAAAGTATGTGATTTTGAAATTTTATTTTACAAATAAACATTTATATCTTTTTTTTTCATAAATTTTTATAGCTATTTTTTATAAATTTTGTAAAGCGCATCAGAACTTCATTGATATTTTGCGCTATATAAATACTATTTATTATTATTATTATTCATGATAAAATTCCAATGCCTGAAGCTCAATCTCACAGCAAAAGACTTGTTTGGCTTATAATGTACAATGCTGTACAAGTATAAAGTTATGTCTCTTGCCAGTTTTAAAGATGTGATTATTTTCAGTACATAGTAGTTTCTGTAGCGACTCTGAAAAAGTGTAGTTTTAGCGTTTTTCTAATTCATTCAAAACTGAGGGCTGAAAAATGTTTGGTTGGGTTATAAAGGTGATACTTTTGAAAATTTTTTATTCACTCTTTTTAAGTAYATTCTCTATATATCAAGAGCAAAATACAATGTTCCTCTGCTAAGAGATTATCAAGCTCTTCTTAAACATTATGAAAATATAGAATATGTTATAGCTGAAAAAAGATCCAAATTGACCTYTCATTTTAAAAAATATGAGAAAATCCGTGTTCTGCTTCACAGATAATCCGCGGATTTTTTCAGTGACTACTCTTTACTTTTTAGCAAAAGTTAAATTGTAACCCTTTTTATTTTCTCTTTCCCCAAATTGAGACAAACTCCTTAGCGACTTAGTGTTAATTGTTAGTTAAGTGTAAGTTTTGTAAACGTTGTATTTAAATTATTGTGATGTGTTGTTATTGTATTTAATAAAAAATGTTAAAAAAAAAACAAAATACATGTTTTTAAATTTTCCGACTAAGTACGGCAGTTTAAAAATGATAGGTGCGCGGGAGTGCCAACCACTATGAAACACCTTAAGCGAAATCAATATTATACGCATGCGCCCTGATCGATCTTTCTTTCACTAAATCATTGCCAGAAATTTGGGACATTTATCAAAATTCATAGAATGTTATTATTTTTAAGAAAAAAGTACAAATACGACTTGAAAAGACATACTAGTACTAAATAAAGGCTTATAAAACAGAAATATTATAATATAGAGCGATTTTTCAAAAAAACCCAATTTCTATTGTTAGGGCTCCCTGATTGCTTC